AATTAACGAATTAATTGATTGTTTGACTACTTTCATGATCTTTAATGAATCCAGCCTTCTTGAAGCCATTCATTATCGTAGAGAAAGGCACATCATTCCATGCCACTGACGTCCTTATGTCTATTTTTAAAAAAAAAGTTTATCATTATGGGAATTGGTTCTCTATTCTTAAAATTTTTCATTTTTTTGGAATATATTTTAATTTTCGGAAGAAGAAAAAAATCTGCTCTATTTATGGTAAAAAAATTCGAGTTATCGAGGGATTAGAAAAAAAAAATTCGTGAAATCAAGTTTTTTTTAACATTGACTGTATAGGAAATTTGAAGGGAATTTTTCGAGATATCGAAAAATTCGTGAAATCGAGGTTCGAGTTAACGAGGTTTGATTGTAGTAGTCGGAGATTTCGGATATCTTATATTTTATAATTCTGTGTGCTAATATGTTTTTATTTATATGTTAAGCGAGGAACAAAGAAAAAAGAAAGGAGCAAAGAGAAAGTTGAAGACGATTAGAATAAAAAATATCGCAGCCTACTTGGACATCAAAGGAAACTTCAATTATTAACATTTATCAGTTATTTATTTATAATAACTATTTATATAATAAAAAGTAAGTATAGTTTCAAATCTTGCGGCAAAGTTTTTAAGTAGTTAAATCTTTGGGTTTGAAGATTTGATAACAGAGAGTAACTTCTTTTCTCTTCATCATAAAGGATTTATTTTAATATATCTAATTTGAAAAAATAAATAAATAGCTTAATAATTTTTTCAGTTTCTCTTAATTTAAAAATGTAAAAATATTTTAACCACAAGCGAGCCATGTAAGAAGTAAATTTTATATACGACACTCTTTGAAGGAAATATGAGAAACTTTTATGTCACATACATCTCACTAGATGGCAGCATCACTAGAAATAGTTATTTCAAACTGACATATGTTTTCAAGTTTAAAGTGCAGCCTTTTTCTATACTTCTCTATGATAAGTAGATATTATTTTCTGTTTATTTTATTTACTAATATTCATACAATAAATTTTTTAATACGTTCCTTTTTTTAAAAAAGAAAACAAAAAGATTCTATGGATGTTTGACTGGTTGTAAACAATGACAAGGTTTCTAAAACCGGAAGAAATTTAGAGAACTTCATACTAGATGGCCCAAGGAAGTCATTTTTACTGCTTTTTAATTTCAATTCGAAAAACAATGATGTATATAATGACACAATTTCTTAAAATTTTGTGACTTAATAATTATTTTTATTGTTGATATTTATTAATCACTTGTTACATAACTGAAAATAACATCAAAAATTAATTTTAAACAAATTTCTTTATACATCAGCTATTCTTTTACAGTGCAGTCATTTTGACTGTTTTTGGGCAATATAGGTATTTCAGTCTTTCTAGTGTTAGTGTTATGTTTACGACGCAATGTGTGAACGGGCTTCTAAGAAGTTTTATTAATGTGATTTCGGTTTCAATTTGTTCGTAATTTTACCATTGATAAGAGAGCAATTTATAAATTTTAGCTGGTTGTGAGTCGAGAATAAATTTCAGAAAATAAAATATCACAAAATAAATAAAGTGTAAGTATAGCCATGTCTTCAGTGTAATCCCTTATTTGGCTATATTTGTGTAAAATATCAACGTCAAATCTGTCAAGTCTCAATGTCCTCCATGTTCCCATAACAAATCAATTCCTCTGGAGGTACTGATCCAGGAGTTTCCTTGTCTTCTGGATTGGATTCAGAATGACAAGGCTACGGAGTTGAACATTAGTAGTCGTAAACCCAAAATAGGGTCGGCTTCTCAACGACTGTTATATTGTAAAAATCATTATAGCAGACTCATTATAAGATTCAAATTAAAATTCGCTCTCATCATTTCAAGAGATGGTATTGCTATTTTAAATTTCATGACATGCAGGCTCCTAGAAAATTTGAGATTTTTATTGTAACAAATAAAGCTTAGTATCGGAAAAAATAATAAAAAAAAAACAAGAATTAATTCTCACCATAACAAAAATTATAAACTGGAGAAAAATAGGGAAGAATGCATACCCAAGTCAAAAATTTTGATAGTTTTCCATTGATGGACCACCACAATCTTGATGGTAACCATCAATAATTCCATCATGAACCCATTATATCTTTTGATAGTAACCATCACCCAATGTACGGATTCGGACTGATTTATGATGGTCCGACATAAAAAAAAAATTGTTTTATTGGTATTATTCCAGAGAACCAACAAAAATTTCCATTAAACCATCATAGAATTGTGTAATTGGAACCATCATGGATTGTTGGTCCATGAGAATCAAACTTCTCTTGATTTTTAATCCTCGTAGTATTAAAGTAGCATTTTCCATCATGCATGAAATGATGGAAGTTTCTTGTCATATCGTAAACCATGAACGTATAATGGGAAATGTTGAATGATGGCGACCCTCCAATGATGCTGGACCATAGTGAATCGTACTGAAACCAACATAAATCATCAAAATGTTTTGATGGAACCATCGAGAGTTTTGACTTGGGTAACAAATGAAAATAAATTCGAGTAAAACTAATGATTAAAGACTAGAATATGAGATAACTAACACTTCTGAAACATAGTTTTTTTTCTTCTTAAAAATAAAAGGTGATATTTATACTTTTTATTATTTTGTGTACTGTTTCGAGAGTACTTGGATCACAAAAACTTTGAAACTTACCTCCATTTTAAGGAATACGTGAGTAAACCCTGCTTCTTATTTTTGCTTACACGAAATAAGTCTCGTTATTTGCTTATCGGTGGGAAAAGACAGGTTTTTAATGTACAATGGTGTAAAAAACGAAGAGAAATTTGCAGACCGATTATCTCTCGAACTGCTGGACAGATTTTAATGACATTTGATGTGTGTACATCATATATGGCAGTACTTTTACTTTCGTTACTTGTACCGCCGGAACAAGTAAAATTACGTACTTTTACTTGTACTTCGTTACTTTTTAAATTTAGTACTTTTACTTGTACTTTCGTTACTTTTTTAGGGAAAAAGTACAAGTATTTGTAACGGAAATATCGAATGAAATCGTTACTTTTTTCTAAAACTCGGTAAGCTTTCTAAAAAAAAATAAATAAATAAATAAATAAATAAATAAAAGAAGTAAAACTTGCAGGTGACATGATCTTATATGTAGAAAATCTTAATCCACTAAAAATTTAAAATNGTAGACGGATCATGGGTTAGAGCTCCCTTGTTGTCTGGATAACCACTGGAGGTTCTCGTAGTCTTCCTTTCCATGTAGCGCAAATGCGGGTTAGTTCCATCAATAAGTCCTCCAGGAAGGCAAATTTCTCCCAATACTCGATCCTGGAGTTCCCTTGTCTTCCAGATTGGGTTGAAAATTGCAAAGCTTCGGAGTTGAACATTAGTAGTCGTAAACCCATAAAATTGGGATGGCTGTTCAACGACGGTAATAAAATAAAATTTTCAAATCTGATCTTACCGCTGCTGGATTGCAATAAACGCAATGTCATTCTTTCTATCTCAAACTATGCCCGTTTCTATGCTTTTTCTAAAGCTGACAAGCCTCAACTTGCTTTTAGACCTATTGTCACGAACATTGATACCCCATTCTATAAATCTGCTCGCTATTTAGCGTGTATCACCTCTAACTTCCAACAATCTTCGCGTATATATATATATATATATGGAATTGCCATATATATGGAATAAACAAAAAAAAAAAAGGGTTAATATGGGCAATGGTCCATTCTTACAGATATACAGACCTTGCAGCGCGATTTCATACTTGAAATAAGGCAGTTCATCATTTCCTGTGGCAATTGTCCTGAATGATCCTGCTGCAATTTCATACCTTCCAACTCCAAAGAGTGTTGCGCATGCGTGTGTATTACAATTGTTGAATGGTTATGTGTTTTGTAGTGTTTCAATGCATGTACAGATAAAATTTCATTAAAATCGGTCCAGAGATAATCGACCCGGTCGCCCGGTCTGCAAATTTCTCTTCATCTCTCACAACATTGTAGAATAACGAATGATTTTAAAAGGAGTCACGTGTTGCCTTTGAAGTCACTAAACAGATGACGTCAAAACAACTTTTGTTGGTGTATGAGTTTTGGTTAATAGATGCAAAAGAAGAAAAAAGAAACACAAATAAAATTGTTTTTATTTCTCAAAAAAAATAAAAATGTTTTCTTAAACTAATAAAATTTATCTCAATAAATTACAAATGTCTTTCACCCGTTCACGAGCGTCTTCGTTAAATAGAAGTCTTTCAACTGTCATATACACAAATGTTGTTTTTGAAGAAACCATGTTTTTCTTCTGGTAGGAAAAGAAAATTCGAAAGGATATTCATTTTAATATACACTGTTAAAAATTTCATTCTAAAAAGATGGTAAATAACTGGCAGCTGTCTGTCTGTCCGATTAACCGTAAAGTTTACGGTAAAGAACATTTTTTTCCTTTACTGTTTTGAAACCATTTACAAAAAGTATGGTTATAAAACCATGAATATAAAACTGTACGGTTTTTTTAAGCATTTATTACTAGCCTTATTCCAAAACTGAAGGAAAAAAAAATATTTAACTAGACATAGGAGCTCGGCTTTTCGTCAGGTAATGGGCATTGGAGATTGTCGGACACTAGAAATTCTTCATGTGTTGAAGGGAATGGAGGAAATGGTGTGGTGTCAACACTAGGACTCGAACTCCAGATCTGCCGGTCATAATATTGACAGATAAGCCCTTTCGGCTATGATGTGCACGCAGTTACCAAGAACTTAGTAGGTGATTCTAGTGGGTGCGACAAAATTCTGGTTGTTTAACCGTATTAGGTGAAAGCAGTTAATAAACAGCTCTTCTCAGTTTAATTACCATTTTATTTAGGGTTATTTGACTGTTTTGTTTAAATATAGTAAAATAACCATTCAATAAATTGTTATTTAACCATTTTTTTCTGAGAAATTTCTAACTGTGTATAATATTTTTCTTTTTTTGTTTAGAAAAAAAAGTAAGGAATGAAAGAAAAACTTTTGAAAATAGGCCTTATTTACAATGTAGTCTCGTTTTCACAAACTCTCGAATTTGAGATGGGGCTTGGAATCGTCCACTAAATAGTCATTTCGTGGTGGAGGTAGTGCCGAGTAAGCGTTGTACATGTCCCCCCTGTTGTGAGACGATGTGAGGGGTTGATAGGAAGGATTATAAAAGGGGGAGGAATCGTAGTGAAGAGAAGAGTAGGGACTGTTCTGGTGATGGAAGTATCCATTGGTATTGTAGGTCGTTGCAGCCGCGGCCGGACAATTGTACTGATAGGTAGGGGACTCCAATTTCTGCATGCAACTGGTGGTTATGTTGGGCAGCACGTAAGTGTCCGAATGGGTTGTGGGACTGTACTGAAGATTCCTTGGTGGTATGGGTTGTATGGGAATGGACGGACTGGAGTCTCCGGACGCTGGACTGGCTTGTGATTGGGACGTTGAAGGACTGCTACAAGACGGAACCTGGGCTGGAGGACTCTTCGAAACTTGCTTTTTGGTGGAGCGATTTTTACTGGAGCCATTTTGATTTTGTGCTTGCTGGCGACACTTGGCTCGCCTGTTTTTAAACCACACCTGAAAAGAGACACAAAATATAGCATCCAAACAATATTTAAATTCATAGCAATAAATGCAGAAAAACACACAATGTGATTTTTAATGAAAAGTACATTTCCAAATCGTACTTACAAAAGCAAAATACTACTTATGGATGGTATTTTCGACACTAGAGAGCGCTGCAGGCTCTTTGCTGCCTATACTTCCGGGTTACTGCTTCTGGGGTGTATTTTGAAGCCATTTGGCTCAGAACGTGTTCATTATGTTTTGAGATTCTTTTGAAGAGTAGTTCTTGCAAACGTTGTATTTGTTTATTTATTATTTGTGTTTACAATGAATTGTAAGTCTAAATACTACTAATAAAGATGTCGTTATATAATAAGAAAAGACAGGACGCTTATATTATGTTATTAATGTGAAAATTATAAAGGGTATATAATTTTAACATTAATTTTGAAATAGTTGCGTTAAATAGAAGTAGCATGTGATTTTGATCAATAATAAATATGTAAACCTAACCTTTGAAAAATGAATCGTTATAAAACACTTCCTACCAATTCAATAACATATGCCAACTTTCGAATTTAAACCGGAATTATAATTTATAGACTTAATCTTGCTGCTAAGAGAATATGCTAACACTAACGTGTGCACCAAGAACAAACGGTAATAAGCAAATGGAAAAAGGTCAAATCAGGTCTGCGAGTTCTTTCTAAATCTACCAAAAATGTCATCTTTTTTTTAATAATGTATCTATAAATAACTAAAACGTTTAACATTTTATATAAAACATTTAAAAATTTTAACAGTGAGGACTCATTCATACTTCATTCACTGATCGTAATTTTGACCTGAACCAGAGAACGATAAATCTCCAATGCAGTACCCCCAGAGGTATTGTACACACATACATACACATATATATACATATATTAGAAGGAGGTAACTACATTAAAGCTAAGTCACTGGAGTCAGCTGATGACGAGATTATGTTGTTCTAAATTAAATGATTATTATTTAAAATGAGTGATTGACTTACTTGAACTCTTGATTCTGCCAATCTAATTTGGTTTGCGACTTCTTCTCTCATAAAGATGTCCGGATACCTGGTTTTCTGAAAGAGGGCTTCTAGAATATCTAATTGGGCTCTCGTGAAGGTTGTCCGTTCCCTCCTCTGCTTTCGAGCTCCCTGCGGATTAGCTGCAAAAAGATGTATTGATGAACTACAGTGCTTTAGAAATTTATATATAAATATATATATATAAATTTATAATTCAAATTTTTAAAAAAATGTATAAACTATCTAAGGAAAAAAAATATTTTTTTTTAAACTGTGCAAATTCTGAGTGAACTGCTGATAATTTGCAATATTAATAAAACAGTTTTAAAACTGCTGAGCATTTTAATGATTTTAAAACAATATTTTTAAAACACTTTGTTATTCATGAAAAAACTTTAAAAATTGTTATAAAAAATCCAAATTAAAATTAAAAAAAATCGGCCTTCTATTCGTATAAATAAAAGATAAGCATCTACGTTTGTCTCTTAAAACATTTTGCTAGTATTTTATGAAAAATGCTGCTTAAAATTGAACAGAAAGCTTGAACATTGATTAGGATTTTTAATTTTAAGATCAAATTGACTTGCTAACTAAATTTTCTATAATTTATTTTGTTTTTTTCTCTCTTTAATCTCTTACTCATAATTAAGAATTTTTATTCCTCAGTTGGGTTTTTGAAATGAGTTGTGTGATGCCTCTTCTAAACTACACTTTCTACTCTTATTAAATAATCAAGTAATACAAGTACAAACGACACCGAAAACGACCTCAAAGTCCTAAAACTTAAGAACTGGAAGGGAGTTGCCATGGACAGAGGGAGCTGGAGAAGGCGTGCTGTTGAGGCAGCCAAGGCCTGCAAAAGGCTGCTGCGCTCCTGAAGAAGAAGAATACAAGTATAAAATTTTAAAGTCAATTCCTTCTTAGGTCAACAGAGAAATTTTTTATTTTAGTCACTTCTTATTCAATAATTAAAATTTCCTTTCTTCCATATAAAACTAAAATTAATTCATTAAATTTATTGAATGGCTTAATATTTGAAGAAAAAAAAACTGTATTAACATCGAGTGCATCACCAGCAAGTTTAAAAAATGCACTTGAACTCTTGAGTGGATGAATAAAAAGTATTTTATGAATATTTGAATAATAGAGAGAGAGAGAGAGAGAGAGAGAGAGAGAGAGAGAGCGTGAACTAATAGTAGGAATTGGGTATACTATAGCCTACGTCACAGATCGTGTTATTCCTACTAAATTTAACCCCTGAACGGCATTTTCTGCGAACCTGATTTCTAGCAACAAGTAAAAGCATCAAACGAAGTGTCTTGTTATAAGTCGCTACTCGCCAGGTTGGAATTGTATTAGTCTAGTTCCTTTGGAAATAATTTATATTGTTGTTTTACCGAAGTTTATGAATTTAGTAAGCATATTTAAAACTCAGTTTATTAATTAAACTAAAAGGTAAATGTTATTCCTAGTAAGTGGAAGTAGTTGTGCTTTTTTCATATTATACCCAATT